CAACATCATTTGGAAATGGGAGTGGACTGATATTCATGCCTGAAGAATTAATTCTAAGAACTCATATATCTACTAGTTACTCTTACCTAGTGGATGTATTCCTAGCTTTGACATTTATCAACAAAATTTTCATTTTGATGATATTTTAACAAAATAGTGCTGAATTTGAAGAACATTAGTGTAATGGTTTCGAGAACATGTTGAGGAACTATCTTATTGGCTCCAGACTTAATTTTGCGTGATACAAATCCAATCAAGTGTTTTTGGTTTCAGAATAGCATCACATTAACAATTTAACTTCAGAAGCTGAAGGACTTTCTATTGAACTCATGATATGAGTGTCAAAAATTCTAATTTGCAACTTTTTCAATTGATACTTTTATACATATTTTCGTCTGATAAGAAGTCTTTTGACAACGAGAGAGCTACATTAAATTAAAAAGGTAAATATTTTTAAGGGTTTGCTGAAAGATACGTAGTACAGTAGTTCATTATAGTACTACAAAACCCTTTTGGAAACACAAGGCATTGGTACAACAGAATTGAAATAGTAATTACGTATTTACCTTTTGTACTAAGTCATCCAGACCGGAAAGTGATTAGATTAGTGACTCTGGCTGCGGTACCGGAAGGCTCGGGTTCGAATTCCAGAAGATGTAATTTTTCATCCCTTCAGACCAGGTGGCCCACCTATTAGGTGTCTCCATAATAATAAAGAGACCACCGCTTCTTGTCTGAGCAGTGGCCAACGCCTATAAACGACTAGAGCCCCCTGCTGTGGGAAAAATTATTTTTAATTTTTCAGCCAACAGGAGTACAAAATGTTTTGACAAGATAAAAGATGATAAGATATCTTATTTGCGAAGACAACAGTAATTAACACTCAGGACAAAAGACTGGACGTATGATAAGAACATTTTCTTGCAGTTAAAAGCGTTCGATATAAGCTTTTAATAACTTTTAACAAGATCCTGATTTCAAAAGCAAGTATTGGGTTATTTTCTGTTTCAGGGTATTCAATTAATCCATAGCAAATCCTGTAACTCTAAAAATTAATCATCTCACATAGATATTCATAACATACACAGCATCAGTTTATCAGAAGAATTTGATTACACGAAGCCTACAAATAGGGAAAATCGTATTGTAAAATATAAGAGATCAACATTTCACGAAGATTTCACATCTAACTATAAATTACATTAATCCATTTTTAATTTTATTTATATTCATCTAAACAGAACATCAAATAACTAATCACTTCAACAGAACTATGTTATTCTGCAATTGAAATAGTAAGATCTCAGCTGACTTTTCACAAATATTGGAACTAAGTAAGGAAAAAATAATTCATTAAAGACGTGCTGTGTTTCTTTTCTTTGATTCTTTGAAATTTCTTATCATTTATTAATTACATGAATGGGAACCGGAAGAGATATGCGCTTAAACGTCATGAGAATTACAAGTCGTTCCTTTTCAGGACAAGCATATCAAATATTTTCTTTCATTTCTGCTGTCAGTCCCTTATTCCCTTATCTCAAGACTTTACTCCGAAGATGTACCTCTGATCTTCATAGATATAGAAAATGTGGCAAAATAAATAAATTCTTCAACTCATAGATTTCTAACCTTTCCTTGCAGTACCTGACGGTGTTCAGTGTTCACCTCCTAAATGTGATCCTGGCTGCAGGATTGATTATAAATCTCTTCCATGCCCCAGCTGTGTTTGTGATGGAAGTAAGTGTGTTTCTAATGACTTTATGAATTCCTTACTGCTAATTATATATAATTTAAAACAAATTCTTGGGGTTTTAATATTCATTTTCCTTTTAATGTCTAAAATCTAGAAAATTATATTATAATATAATGGATGGTAATATATAGAAATATTCCTTTCGATATATAGAAATAATGAATGGTGACTAAAATATTCCCATAGGTACAGAAACTTTATCTTTACTAAATATATTTCGTTCACCAGCTCTTTGCTATGTTGGCAATTTATTATCCATTCAGAATAATTCGCAGAAGCACTTCAAAAAATAATTAAAACTCAACTAAAATACATGCTATAGCGTGAAAATTAATTGGGACAAAGCGATCTTTTTGCAGAATTTTAAACTGGTTGCCTGCTGGCTCCAGCAGGTCCCTCAAATCAGTTTTATCTGCCTTGATATTGTCTAGATGTCTGCTTTCGACTATTTAGAACTGGCTTATAGACATTAAATTCGTGTTGTTGCACTATTTTTAAGCTTGTTTCTGTGATAAAGAGGAAGTTAATTTTGCATACTTTTTAAGTGCGTTTTCTATTCATTCATTTTAGTGTACTAAAATGATATAAACCTAGAAAGATGTAAAAGGATATCGCTCTTAATAATCGAGCATCCATGATAGTAACGAATATTATTTCCGCGGTTGTTGTTGGAAAATCGAGCATTTCTAGAATTTCTAGAATCGAGGGGAGATACAACGAAACTGGATCATTTACTCCAGAAAGGGAAGGGTAAAAGGAAAAAACTCCCAATCTGACCAATTCTTACTCAGAAATTGCATTATTAATCGAATAAAACCTAGCAAAGACCTTAAAAAAGATCTATTATCTATTGCTACTTGATGTTCAGCTTTCAAACGTGCAGTACACACTTCTCACCGCTGGTACTGCAAAAAAAAAAAAAAAAAAAAGTACAAATCTTGGACTACAAAATGACTAGAAAAATTTCATTTTCAGCAAAGAGAATCATTTATTTGTTTATTACTCATTTATTTACACACCTAATGTTGTTAGCCGAAACAAGATGAATCAGTAAGACCTCAACATGTCTAACAAACGTAAAATAACCTCCAAAACGAATGTTTTTGGTATTTTTCACTGCAGATGGCACTGGAAATGTAGTTTCTAGTGAGAGAATAGTAAATGATAGCCTTTACAGCAGTTCTTGTTCCTGAGGACATATTTGGATATCAAAGTAAATGTCGCATCGGCAGTCATCTTAGGTCTTAATTTAGTATTAACTACATTCTTAAACTAAAAATTCATTCAGTTTCTTTATCAAAATTTGTCTCTATACTATGGAACAATTTTAAATGAATATATACTGAATGCTTCTATACACTTTTATATTTAAAGTTTTCTGTATATTTCTATAAACTGAAATGAATAGTAACATACTGGCGTCCAGTAGCAGCGACATGATTATCTATTCTTCACATTATTTCTAAGATGGCAATGACAAGTTCATTAGCTTGCTTTTCAGGATATTTTCAATAGGAAAGAGAAGGTCAGTCTTAAAAAATACAAATTTTCTGGCAAGCTTTACCTAAGCTGTTTATCAGAAGAAACTGCCTTTGTTATTATAAAATCTGAAACTTTTCTTTCAAACTAGTAACTATGGTTTTGTTTGGAATCAAAACAATCATCCAAATAGATATAATTGTGCTAAATTTGCTATAAAAAATTATGGCAAGTCTAATTTCGCATGTATTATGCTATCATGTAATTAGTTACTTAATACAAAGTTAAGTAGGCATTTCTAGCTCCAAACTACAAATCTTATCTGAGCAAGCAGCAACCTAATAACATGAGCTCGAGAGGCAGAGCAAAAATGCTTTGAATTAAACTCCAGAAACCTTACTTTTAATACTATCTCTTTTTAACCCATTTTCATTCTGGTAAGAAAACGGAAAGGAGACAGTAAAGATCCAACATATAAAATAACTGGTTAGTGAAAAATAATAATAATAACAACCCTACAGAACTTTACAATGTTCATTTAGAATATTATTTACCATTGCAGAGAATTCGGTATAATAATTTTTTTCTTGACACAGCTTAACTAAGCGAAATGAAAGTTTTGTGATAATCTAGATTAGTTCTTATACAGATATATACAACACCTTATAATGCTCTGAAGACAACAATCACTACAGAATCATATTATCTGGTTTTTATATGTCATGTTTGAAATAAAATTCAATTACGAGATATAAATTCGTCTATTGGAAAACTTTAATTTATTTTAAAAGACTAAGTTTTGCAGCATGCCACCTTTTAATAAATTTTTCTGCGTTGCACAGATTTTCCATTAACCTTGTGTAATTTTCAGTCTGCGCAAGACTCTTATTTCAAAAGCAGCTGTTATATCGTCATTTTGATTCGTCACCTTAAAATTCAAGCAGCCATTTGCTAAATATTTCCAACTTTTATAGTCTCTCTTAAATTTCTGCTTGCAAGTCATGCATATCTCTTTTTTCACTTTTAAGAAGAGAGTTATGTAAATTTTTGCTGCAACGAACAGAGCAGTCTCAGATAAATTTTCATTCATTATCGTAAATATCAATCATAACACAATGCCAAAGACTAACTTATAGCGACAACAACAAATCAAGGAGATTGTTGGATTATGTGACTGCTGAAGTCATTGTACACTTGAAATGGGTATAATGTTGGCAAAATCATATTATAGAATTCCTTATCAAACGTCAAAATAACTTTCCAATCAATTCTTTAAAAGAATATTACAAACGATAAATTGCTGAAACAAGATTTGATAAAGGTATTGTTACATTAAAATTTTTGGAAGTAGGGGAGGAAAAAAAGAAGCCAACCGTGACTCCTGAAGTTAAATATGAATAGAAACAACGGTGGCAATGGTGTGTGAAAGAGTAATAGTTATTTATCTAGTACACAGAATGTTATCTAAATCAGCGTTCGTCAACCCTTAGAATTTCACGGACCACTACATATATAATTTTATATTTGGCGGACCACTAATATGAATTAAAAAAAGGAAATACATTTATACAATAATAATCAGCAAATAACGTATGTGTTCCGTTGAAAATACAAAAAATCTTACTCTTGTACGAAAGCTTCAAATTCCATATCATGAAAAGAACTCATGAAAAGCAGAACAATCCGTCAAACGGAAAGCAATATCAATAAACTGACAGTGTTATGCAGCCAATTTTTAATTATTGTAAATATAATAATCATCGCTTACTCAGCAATGGCGCCATCGATCAACAGTAGCCAACAAAACAAAAACGGAAACTTCCAGGGATGCAATTATAAACAAGAATGCAGATGATTCTCATAAGAATCCATCAAGTTGCCTATTTTTTTTTCCTTTGAGAACATACAGACTCCCCGTGCACCACATATGTACAACACGGGGCTTACAGAAGTAAGTTAACTAGAACATTAAAGGTTACATGTATAAATAAAACATTAAAAATTACATGCATAAATAAGCGAACAAAAAGCAAGAACAGCAGTCTGGACTTCACGAAAACAGATAAGTTCACTGGCCAAGTCACTCCGAACATTTTCAAATCGTTCTGTAAGCATAATCTAGGGCCATCAAAATGTAGGGCACGAGAAAATCAAATGTTCCACATCCTGAGGAACTCTTTTTGAACATTCACATAAATTGTTTGATCGTAGATTAAAACGAAACAGATAACTTGCAAATTTACCGTGACCAGATAAAAACTGAGACACTTTAAAATTTAACGAGAGGAAAGACTCGGAATTCAGTCTATGGTAAATAGAAGGAAGGAACTTTTTGGTGACTTCCAGCATTACAAGATGAAATGTATTCCTCATTCCACATAGCTAAAAGCTTTTTATAATGAAAGGACTTCCAATAACTCTTTGGAATGCTAATGTTGATATCAATGGGTAAATTTAAGGCATCTTTAGCTAAGAAATCAGCTCTTTCATTTCCGTAGAAACCATGATGAGCACGCACATAAGCAAAGCAGATATCAATACCTCTAATTCTAAGTGAACTAACAGTTACTAGGGTTTCGATAAACTAATTTATCGCAGCTGGTAATACTGTTCAAAAGTTGAAGAGAAAAAAGAGAATCAGAACAAATAAGGTACTTTGAGGATGTTGTCCCATGATCCTGGATCCATTTGACGGCAAGATAAATGCACAGAAGTTCTGCTTGAAAAACTGTACATTCATTCCGTATACGGTGTTTAAGAAAACAAATCTCGGAATGGCCTTCAAAAAGAACAAATGCAAGGCCAACCTTGTTGTTCATCTTGCTGCCATCTGTAAAGAAAACCATATGAAAACTTATTTCAGCAGTCTCTTTATAATCGCAGAAATTTATGGGTTCTAAAGAAGCGGGATGAGGAAGATCAGTGAAGGGGACAATTCCATTAATACAGTCTTCCGAAGCATGAGTTGCCAATGACTCAAAAATATTATTCTTATATGCAATTTCAAAATCAATAGGCGGAAACTCCTGCAAGAACAAAAGTAGCCTCATAGCTTAAGGTTCTATAACCACTAATAATACGAAGAAGAATTCTCCTTGAATCTTTCTTAAAATTTCTTTTGTTAACCTTCTTGGCAAGAACATGTCCCCAAGCACGACAGCCGTATGAAATGAAAGGTACAATACACTGCTTATACATGAGTTTCTTAACATCGTAGCTTACTCCAAAAGTATTTTTGGCAATTCGGTGAAAGCCATTAATAATTTTTTCACATTTAGCAGAAAGGAATTCAATGTGCTTTTCCATGTTAATTTTTGGTCAAGAATGACACCAAGATATTTAACATTTCTACAAATTCCAACGGAAATTATCGAGCATCAAAGAAGCAATATTTTGTTCATCAAACGTACTGGGAACAAGCATAGCTTTACTTTTTGAAGGATTGAAAGTGAGTTTATGAGAAATCGCCCAACTGGAGACAAAATCTAGAAACTTCTTGTGCTCT